ATGAGACAAAGTATATGTGAACTGCTGTATGAAAAGTGAATTTACTCTGTAACTCTTCACCCAAATCCTAATAAAAAATAAATAAAAAAATAAAAAATCAAGCAAAGGTTTATATGTGGAAGGAAACTTTCTTTGCTGGTTACCAGGGGTGGGGGAGGAGGGAACACTGAAAAAAAAAATTCATTGACCCATGTCACTTTAGTTTTGTGTATTTCACTGTACATAAATTATACTTCAATAAAATGTATTAAAAAAAAAAAGGCTTGCAAGTGGCCATGTAGATGCAACAATTAGTCTCTCCCCATCCAGAGCAAAGAAGAATGAAGAAAACTAAAGATGCAGATGGACTAGTGGACCATGAAAACCTTGGCCTATATGACCATGAGGCCAGAAGAACTAGATGGTGCCTGGCTACCACTGTCAATCACTTGGAAAGGGATCAGTGGAGGGGATCCCAGATAGAATGGGAGAACAATGTGGAACAAAACTCAGAATCATAAAAAAGACTAAGTTTACTGGTCTGACAGAGCCTGGTGAGACCTCCAAGATAATGAGCCCTAGTTACAATTCAGGCCTGGAATTGAACTCACTCCTGTGGCTTTCAGCCAAACAATACACAGGCATATGGGGTGAACATTTACATCAGGTAGATACACTCCTTAGAATAATCAATCATGGATGAACAGAAGGCCAGCATTTTCACAGGGAGACAGCTCAGGGGGCAGGAATGCATAGGAAAGAAGGACACTGGGAAGAGGTAACTACAGGGAGGAAGTGGGAAGTGAGCTGTTACACTGTGGGGAATTGCAGTCAACATCATGAAACAAAATGTGTATGAACCGCTGTAAGAAAAATGAATTTGGTCTGTAAACTTTCACCCAAATCACAATTGAAAAAAAAAAGCCTCAACTTTGTCCTCATCATTCCATACTAACTCATGTAATTTCTTTCACTCCTGGGCTCCAGTGACATGCCAGCTGTCAGCCAATACCTCAGAGAACTTCAGGCTGGCTATAGTCTGGACACGTGGGTGAGATATAATCAAGCTCTCCTCCAGTTCAACACAATACCCATCTGTGCTGTTACCTGGAGTCCTTCAAATGATGGATCATCAATTCAGTGTCTTGTGACTCTTCCTGTAACCCTCCCTGTGAATCTAACTCATTTTTAACTGTTCCCTCTTCTCTCTGACCCATTGAGATACTTACCTACCCATGTCCTTATGATCAGACCAGACAACCTGGGGTGGAGAACCAAACTGTAACTTGAGAGGTGCTAGACTCCCAGTGATGCCATGGCCAGATAAGGTCCCTAGACCATTGGCAAAGGCTCAGCCCAGAGAAACAGACATGGGAAACTACTTCTCACTTTCAGAATATGCTTGAGGAGGGTGAAGTTTTCCATCAGGTGCAACTTGTTCCATCTATGGAAGAGGCTGAGGGTGGGGTTAGGTACCAGATCAATGTCTATAACTGTTCCCTCCCCACCTCTGATCTCATGGACCTTTGCCTTAGGGAATTTCTTCACATGCTGACTTAGATCTTGCCTGAGTTCCTGCATTGTGGGTTTGGTTATTGCTCTTTAACTGGCCCCACGGACTAGCTGGTCAGATCAGCCTTTGCTTCTCAAAGCCACCTTGCCTAGGACTTGCTTGGGGGCCTGTCCTAACTTCTCTCAGATCTGATTTTGGGTCTTAAGACCTTAAGCATAAATATTAAGCATGAATCAGGGCCCTGGCAGCCTCATTCATCTGACCGGGGAGAGTGGTTGGCAGAGTATATTGAGTGAGAGGTGTCTGTGAGAAACAACCAGTTCTTGTGCTTACGAGAAAGGTCTAAGCTGGATATAAAGATTTAGAAATCGCCAGTGAATTAGACATAGCAGTAGAAGCCCCGAATGTGGATGAGATTACCAGGTAGAGTGAGCAGCATGAGGAGAAGAGAATAGAGGACAAAGCCTGAGAGATCAACAGGAAAGGGTCAGGTGGAGTTGCCTGCAAAGAAATCGGAGAAGGAGCAACTGGAGAGACTGGAGTAAAATTAGGAGAGAGAGGCTCTACCGAAACTGTGAAGAGACATCAAGGAAGGGGGGAGTAGTCGGCAATGTCAAATGTAGCTGAGAAGTCTAGTAAAATGAGATCTCAATTAGATTTGACAACTGGGAAGTGACTGGGGGAGCCTTAGAAAAGAGCTCCTTCAGTGGCCTGGTGGAAACAAGCAGGGGGAATCAGATGCTCTCTATGCTTGGCAACACAGAAGAACTTTGGGTACTAAAGGCACATCTCTGCCTGCATTGACTAGCTACGCTCACCACCTTCTAAGCAGGAGTTCTGGTGGTGTAGTGCCTAAAGCATTTGACTGCTAACCAGAAGGCTGGCGGTTCAAAGCCACCAGCCACTCTTCGAGAGGAAGACTGGGCAATCTACTTCCGTAGTGATACTGCCTCAGAAACCCAAGGAGGGATTGCTATGAGACAGAATCAACTCGATGGCAGTGAGGGAAGTCTGTTTATTTACAAAGGAGTTCCTGGGTATTAGAACTGGTTAACATGCTTGGATTCTTACCCAAAGGTTGGAAGTTCGAGTCCACCCAGAGGCAGCTCAGAGGAAAGGCATGGTGATCTACTGTAAAAACTAGCCACTGAAAACTCTAAGGAACACAGTTCTACTCTGACGCTCAAGGGATCACTATGAATTGGAATCTACTCCCTGGCAACTGGTTTGGCTTATTTACAAAGCATATTCAATCATTTACATTTCAACACCCCCCAAAGAATGTAGGATGCAGCCTTAGCACCTCAATTATTGGGCTGGAAACCTCGCGCGCCCCCAGACGACACCTCGGCGCGCTGCAGTCTCGCAACCATTCCTCAAGCTCCCGTCAGGAGCTCCAGCGCGCTCTTGATGAGGCCGGAGTGCGAGTGCCCACGCAAAGCTTTCTGGGAAATGTAGTTGAATGACTGGGTTAAGAACTACAAATCCCGGTACTCATGCTCAAAAGCCCCGACTACGAGGGCGCTTTTTGGTGAATCTGAATCTTATTTGTTCGTGCCATTGGCAGTGCTGCCCGAGCCTCATTAAATTTTTATAAGAGGTTTTTGAGAAGCATGATAGCTCTTCTGCTAGGTGTGCAAGAGTGGACTTTGGCTTTTACTGCTACCGGGTGTATTGCTCGATATGGCGAATCTGCCGTTGCTGTGCAGTGACATAACGCTTGAGGAATCTGCTACGGAAAAAAGGACGGTAGGGTAGCTTGGGTAGCTACTGTCATGGCGGCGACAACCCCCAATGCTGGCGGCTCCACGCCTGAGGTGGCGGGTTCCCCCGAAGCCCCGCTGCAATACAGCCTTCTTTTGCAATACTTGGTGGGTGACAAGCGTCAGCCCCGGATCCTGGAGCCTGGTAGCCTGGGCGGGATCCCGAGTCCGGTCAAGACTGAGGAGCAGAAGATGATTGAGAAGGCAATGGAAAGCTGTGCTTTCAAGGCAGCGCTGGCCTGCGTGGGAGGTGAGGCGAGGCGAGTGGGTCCCTTGGGAGGCTGAGGGCTTGGACGGCAGCAAGCACCTCTGCCAAGAAGACCACACGCCTGGGAGTCGAGGGAAGGATGGGCTCGACCCTGCCTACACGTCTTCGTCCCATTCAGTGAACTCTGCTAATGCCTCTCTTGTTCCTGAGGTTAACTTTTGCCTATGGAAATTGGATCATAGAATGTGATACTACTATCTGGGCCTGAAGGTTATAAAATGATTGACTTCATTCACTCGTTGGTTCATTAATTTAAATAATAATTAATTCCATAAATTGCTCCTGAGCAACTATCGTGTGCCAGGCGGTGGTGATACTGAGTGAAAGTGACAAGAGCCTTGTTCTTATGAAGCTAATATATTAATATATAGAAAAATGTTGAGAAGAACCCTGGCAGAAGAGTGCTTCAGACGTTGTTATTATGTGAACAGCAAGTGCAGAGGTCCCCAAGGCATGAAATGGCTTGAGGTTCAGAAAACAGAAAAAGGCCAGTGTGACTAGATAGCGGTGAGACCTGAAGTGCAGCTAGGGACCATAGTCTCAGTGGTTTCACCAGGCTCTATCCGACCAGCAAACCTGATCCCTTTTTATTTTTTATGATTTTGAGTTTTGTTCCACATTGTTCTCCCACTCTATCCAGGACCTCCTACATAGATCCCCCTCTGAGTGGTTGACGGTGGTAGTGATAAAGACTAGGATGATAATTGTGGCTATAGCCTGAGATGAACATATTTGAAAACCTAGGAGGAAAGATTTTGCCCTATTTGATGATCGATTGTAGAGAGAAGCAAAGAAGCAATCAGCTATGCCACTGAGGTTTAGAGCTGAGGAGCTATATTACAGAAAAGTCTGGAGAGAAGATGCTATGATTTCATTGAACATGTATTGACCTTAAGGCGATGAAAGGCATCCATGTGGAAATGTCCAGCAGGTTCAGAAATGTCAGATGTGGACAGCTGTGTGGGCTTTGCCATTTGATAGGATTTGATCTTGAGGAAGTTACTTAACCACTCTGAGCCTTGATTTCTTCATCTGTAGTATAGAAAGGAGATGATAATATTATTTACCTCACAGGATTCTTGTGAGGAGTAAATGAGACAATCACTTAATGTACCAGAGCGCCTGGCACATGGTGTTTAGTAAATGACTGTGCCCTGTGAGTTGGAATTGACTTGATGGCAGTGGGTTTGGTTTTGGCTTATTGTCAAGGGAGTTGTTTGCAGAAGTTGATAGCTGACTTTGAGGGTGACTTAGTTACATATAAGAGTATAGAGAGAACAGAGGGATAAAGACTGAGTCTTGAGGAATGTTGGGAAATGAAAGGAGAAGGAAATTCAAGAGGAAATAGAGAAGAAACCGGCTATAAGATAGACCCCAAACTCACTGCCTCTGAGTCGATTCTGACTCAGCAACTGTATGGGACGGAGTAAAACTGCCCATAGGGATTCCAAGGCTGAACTCTACAGAAGCAAGCTGCTCCATCTCTCTCCTGTGAAATGGCTGGTGAGTTCAAACTACTGACCTTCAGGTTAGCAGCTGAGTGTTTAACCGTTGCGCCACTGGGGTTGCTTAAGATAAACCCAGGATTATGTAATTTGGAAACCAGGAGAGAGGGTGTCAGTTATACCTTACTAATGGCCACCCAAAAGGTTGTGTTCAAGTATGACCCTCTGCAGTAATCCAGAAAACCCAAAGAAAACTTCATCTCTGTTTTTCTTAGGATTTGTCTTGGGAGGTGCATTTGGGGTGTTCACCGCTGGCATCGACACCAATGTGGGCTTTGACCCTAAGGATCCCTATCGAACGCCGACTGCAAAAGAAGTTCTTAAAGATATGGGGCAGAGAGGAATGTCCTACGCCAAAAACTTTGCCATTGTGGGCGCCATGTTTTCTTGCACTGAGTGTTTGGTAGAATCTGTAAGTGTCTCTGCTGTCTGTGAAATCCTTGCCTGTTATCATCCCCCTGCCTTTAAAGGGAAATGCTCTGAATGTTACCATTAGAAAGATCAGAAATGTCAGATACTTGCTAGATTGAATTTCTCTAGTGATATGATTTTAAATAGGAGACTCCCTGGGCTTCATGAGAAGAGATGTGCAGGCCTCAGATGCCTACTTGGTTTTGGTGCTTTGGTGCCACCTGCAGGAAGTGTCTCTCTAAACACATTCAAATTTTAGGAACTATGATTTTGAAAGAGAAAGTTTCCTTTGGGAAGGGACTAAATCAGCAAACCAGAAACCTTGTGTGTTTTTCCCTTAATCGTCTTGTTTGGGTTGTTTCTTTGGCTCTAACTGCACTTCTCAACCCACAGTACCGAGGAAAATCAGATTGGAAGAACAGTGTCATTAGTGGTTGCATCACTGGAGGAGCCATTGGTTTCAGAGGTTAGTAAACAACTCTCGAATAGTTTTTCTTTGTGGCCTTGGACAACGTGCTGAAGTTGACATTTCCAAACAGATGAGTGTTCCAGGGACAGCCCAAGGCATATGTGGACACTTGATACTCTTTCCTTCTGACAAATAAATCATGTTTGCTTTTGTGTTAGCTCAGTTTTGGAAACTTGCTAGGATCTAGATCAGGGTTTCTTAGCCTCAGCACTTTTGATATTTTGGATGTTTTGGTTAATTCATTGTTGTGAGGGGCTATCCTGTGCATTATAGGGTGTTTAGCACCGTGCCTGGCCTCTGTCTACCAGAGGTCAGGAGCACCATTGCAGTCGTAACAACAGAAAATGCCTCAGACATTGTCAAATGTCCTCTGGTGGGCAAAATTGCCCCCAGTTTAGAACCACTGATCTAGATCTGTTCTTAAGGGGGGGGGGGCAGCAAAAATTGTCCCCATCTTGACAGTATAGGAGAAGCCATGAGTAAGAACTTCCACATAGGTAATCATTGGGGTGGTTGTTAGCCAGGATATTATCAAGAAGCATAGCTAGGGCCCATTTACCCCGTCTGTCCCATTTGTCCTCATACCAGGGTCTGCAGAACTTTCAGCTCCATGCATTTCAAGTACTTCGACATTTTTCTTAACAATACTGTGTAATTGTCAGTTTCAATTTTGTGTGTGTTATTACAGTGATGTCTTTCTGTAGTTGGAGATTCTTAAATTTCTACTTATTGAAAACCAAATATAAGTATTCTAGAAATGTTAGCTTATCAGCTATAAGCAACAAAAACCCAAAACATTTCCTCGCCACTTCTCCCAGATAGCATGTTCATTATAACCTTGTTGTGTTGGGCTCAGTGACTTGGCTTTCCCTAGAAGCAGTATCCATTGCTGGGTCACTTGACATCTGTTGTGCCCTGACTTACCCAGAGCAAAAAAGCCTGTTTGTTTTTCATCTTCTGAGAGCGAGGATGATTTGTGGTCATGAAAACCTGCTTTGGGTCCTCAGACAGCCATTGGTAATTTATAGGGTGACTTCTTCTTTGGTCTTCCTGTCACTCAGCTTTGTCAGGGCCTCTTTGAGACGCTCAGCTCCCTCCAGGACTGCTTTGATCACCTTCCCAGGAATTTATTCCATAAACAAACCAGGGTAAAAGGCCATACGCTTTCACTTGATTCCAAGGGCTGGTTCTCTTAACCAGTTTCCTGCCTGTAAGGGGCAATTTCCATGAGACTAGAACTATTCTTTGGGATGAGAGAAGTTAAATGAACGAACAGTTAGATAAAGCACTTTGGATTAGGTAGACTCCACAGCCTCGCTGAGGTCTTAACAGATCTATGACAGACAGGTGGAATGACTTAGAACGCTTTGGCTGGCTTTCTTGCATCTGGAGGTGTGCGAACTTTTGCAAAGCAGCCTGACCCAGCATCTGTCACCACGGTAATACATCATTTGTTTGCTTTATAGCTGGCTTAAAGGCTGGAGTCATTGGTTGTGGAGGTTTTGCTGCTTTTTCTGCTGCAATTGATTATTACCTACGATGAGAGAAGTCCCCGTGGAAGACACTGTCAGCTCAGGCTCAGAGCTGTTGAGAGGACAGTTCCTGCACCACTCCAGGGCACTGTTTGGAAAACTGAAGAAATCAACTGTTTTCCCTCATCTCCTTGCTGTTGTTAGAGAGCTGCCTGGCTGCGGGCTGTCCCCTGCTTCCTGAACAACATTCTCTGCCATCCTGGACTCCAGCCGGGGCTTTATGGGGGATATACTATGTCAGGTTCTCCTGAGAGTTGATCAGGAGATAACGTGTTGACTTTTAGGAATAAATCCCCACAGAGTTTCAGTGCTGAGCACAGCCAGTGCTTTAGTGGTGTGGTGCCGTGGAGGCACGCTCGTTCTTCACAGATGTCCAGGGAAATGTTCTGCCTCCTGCATGCAGCAGCCGTCTTGCACATCAGGGCAGGGCGAAGTCAGTCCACACTGGCCCACCAGTTATGTCGTTTTGTTTAGCGTTCTGCCGTCCTTGGTTGGGTGTGTGTGTGTATATATTATATATATATATATATATATATATATAAAATAGTTTCAAAGGTTGGTATATTTTTATTTCCAAATTCCACATTTCCCAAAAAAGGTGCCAAAGTGGCCCAAAGATTGAACATCTAAAAGGAAACAGTGAGTAAGCTTTTACAAAGTGTGGAGATACTAGACTCTCTAAGGGTTTTTCAGAATACTCTATTATTCTCACCAAGACCGTTACATTGGCCAGGCCTTCCCTTTACGGAGCCCAGCCTAGCCATTTCCTAGGCTGCATTGAAATTCCATGGATAAGCTCAATTGGCATCTTCTAATAGTCTCTTTTGTGGGCTGGCTGCTGGACATGCCTGCAGTGTGTTGAACCACACATTTGTTTCATGAACTGAACACTGAAACAGGCCCGGCTCAAGGACATGTGCGAAGGCCCTGCTGTGGTCATCCTGATGACCAAACTCTCAGTAGCTATTGGCTAAGACCACTACCTTTGTTCTCCAGTATCACTGGCTTTTTCATTTGTTTTAACATTAGTGTCTTTGACTTGACCTGTGGCCTGTTTTTGACAGCAGTATCTTAGCCTACTTCTGTGTCATAAGCAGAAAATAGCTTTTTACAACTAGGATATGCCACTGGTACTTCCTGACTTCAGTGCTTGGAAGAGACATGAAGCTGGTGGCTTCAGACTTTTGCTCTTGGAGGGCGAGCAGGTAGACTTGGTGGGGATCATGTAATTCTGGCCCACGTTAGCCAGTGTTGGTGTTTCTCTTTTTTTCCTACTGTATGATAACTCCGAGTCTTCTCTTTCTGCTTTTTCCCCCTCATCAGCTCTGTATTCTAGCCCACCTACCCAAACTAGAATCCAGACTCAGCTTAAATGTGTAGGCATCCCAAATGTGTATTTGTATGTGAGTGGTGATGTCAAAGTCAGCTGGTAACACCTTCTGCCCTGTCTGCTGTTTACTCTGGAATGTGAACTAACACCCAGGGCTCATGTCCTTCTATGGTGAAGTCTGTGTGATGCTCATCCCCATCTCCCCACTGTTAGGCTCTTTGGGCAACCCCAGAGCTCCGAAAACAAATTTAGAAGTTTCCTATATTGTCCTGAAATTACTGCAAGCACTTTGAAAGCAAGGGCAGTCATACTTGCACCTGTCAAAGTGCCGGGGGTACCCAGGACTCCGCCAGTCTGTTTAAATGTGAGACCAAGCACAGTGAGCTTATGAAGAGGCTCACTACTGCCCTGGAAAAGAGCCCTGGGGCTATCGGTAGCCATCAGTTCCATAAACCATGCATTGTCCACTTTGACTATTCAATCAAGAGAGGAGATGAATAGTTTCCTGTTTTAGATGGCTGGGGAGCCAGTATGAGCTCATAAACCAAACACCAGTTCTTACACACATCTGTTCCTGATCTCCAGAGTAAACAGTGACCAGTGGCTTCGGCTGGTGTGAGCCTGAATTAACCCCACGGGCTCTCCTGAAGGGAGGCTGGGGTCCAGCATCTCCAACAAGTGGATAAGACCAAAGGCTGCCCCAAAGGTGTGCCACTTCAAAGGGAAGCATTTAAGCAAATTTTTGAGTTTACATAAAGCCTTTTTAAAGGACAAGTTCCTGCCATCTCACTGAGGTATGTTGATGGCCAGGCCCCTCATGGAGGAATTTTCACCCTTGTAGCAACAAATGCTGAAGATGACGAGGCCAGACACAGCCTGGCTGGTGGTTAACCTGGGAGCCTTTGGGAAGGGCTAAGAGAGGGGCTGGGGTCACCTCCCCCTGAGCTCTGCCATTCCCCATAGACCAGAGGCTAACTAGGTAAAGAGATTCCTGGAAACACATCTGGGTACAGCTGGAAGAGTTAAATATTTAGATTAGTGGTCGTCCTTGGACTACTGAGAATACAAACATCCATACCACAGGGCTGAGTTTTGTGCAAATGTTGGGGCTTTGAAATTTTTTTTTATTAACATTTTCCTTTCACGTGGTTTACATCAAATTTATAATAATCTACATAAGTTGAAACAGAACATAGACAAAAAAAAAATATATATCCTTACCAACTTATTAAAGTCAGGTATTAACGAAGGGTCCCATCCTATCTGTATCGGCAAATACTCCTGGGAACCCCCAGCCACCACCCGGCAAGACAGGCCCACCTGGATTCTTGTTGCCCATCTGCTGTGCTCCTGGTGGCATAACCTGCTACCAGGCACATGGCTGCAGGGGGCTCTGGGTTGCACAGTCCATCCTGTCTCAGGAGAACCCACAGGGCATTTCCTTGTGCAGCTTAGTCCAGGTCTGGTACCCACCCCTCCCCACTCGGGGGTGGAGTTTATAAATAGGAGCCTTTTGCATCTCTCAGCCCTCCCAGCCTTCCCTCTGCTTTCCCGTTGCCTAAGCAAGCTTGGGGGCTGCAGTAGCTTCCTGATGCTGAGAAGCAGACATTTCCTTTTCTCACTGGTTTTAGGCAGGTGGGAGGCACCCATTTTTTGCTGCAGCCCACTCCAGTTGGGCCTCCAGTCCGCTACTGTCAATCACTGGAAGCAAGCAAAAGCTTCCATGCCACACACCAACCCCAGGAGTAGTCACACGCTGGGATCGTCAGACTCCAGCCATACTCTCCTTTGTCTCCCGTCCCAGGGAGCAGGGCTCCTTGCTAAGCTGCTAACGGCAGCTCAGTGGTCAGTCCTTCTTTTATGTCTTTCCTCCCATGTGCACAGACTGTACCATTCTGCCCAAGGTCTGGGCAACAGGTGTAAACAAGGATCAGACCGGGGCCCTGCCTCTTAACTGAGCAAACCCTTCTTTAAGACAACCCTGAGCACAAACTATGGCAGCTGCTGTCCCCAATCTCGAGGACCAAGAATCTTCCCTCTTCCAAGCAGGAGAGCCAGGGAGCTGCCTGCGATAGCCCAGGCTCTCACAGCCGGGAGTCCTTGCCCTCCCAGACTCACTGCCATAGGCTCGTGGCCACTGCTCTAGAGAAAACGGCACTTTGAGACACGTCTCACTCCTTTCCAGGACTGAGAAATAGGTCTCAAAAATTGGGAACGCAATCCACTGATCCCTCATTCTGGAGTGTCAACAAGGAGGACCCCCCCCCCCCAGCAAAGCCTAGTCCCAAGAGGCAGGTGCTTGCTTGTTCCTCGTCCTTCACCAGCATCTGGAGTGTCCTAGAGTTCACCCATAGGGCTGCATCTAGGAGCCAGGGGTGGGGCAGCAGAGCTGAATATGGAGGGGCAGCACCATGGCTCTGGCCACTGCCAGACTGTGCCCTTTTCTTCCCCAGGCCCTGGAGCACACGCAGCAGTGGGCTGCCTCGTGGCAGCGCTTGGCTGTGGAGAACATGTAAAATCTAAGGCAAAAGTACCATGAGGTACGTGAGGTGCCAGGGGAAGGACTAGCCTCCTGGATGGCGCCTGCTTCCGGACACCTGCATCAGTCCTATTTGTCGCCCTCCGGGAAGTCTGGCTCCCTTAGGAAAGCCACTGCAACTCCCAAGGCTGCTTCCCCCACAACCCAGACACCCAGGCTGCCCAGCACTGCTCTGAATGTCCAACCTCCCTTGTTTCCTCGGCAGCCCCCCGCTCTCTCTGCCTCCCCCCAGATTCTTTCCTGACCCCCTGGCTATTCTGATAGCAGGTCACTTGTTGTAAGTCTTTATACTCAAAGGAAACAGAACACCAGGGGAAAAGGAACTGAAAAGCAGTAGAAGAAAAAAACAGTCAAAGGTTCCTCACTGCAAGGTAGGAAGCAGAACAGATAAACCCCAGAAATGGAGAATCTCAAATGGAAAATTCCAGAAATCTGCTCTCCAGCTCTGTGCTAAGCTGGGGATTAGTGTGGTTCTGTCTCCTTGTCCAACATTTGCACAGGCAGCAGGACAAAGCAGATGTTGCTTCCACAGGCAGAGGGTGAGGAGAGGGCTGGGGGCAGCAGCAGACCCACCACTGCCGCTGTCACCCGGGGCCTCCTCAGAACTTCCAAAGTGATGGAGCGGAAACTGAGGCCTCACATGCATGCGGGTGAGCTGGGCAGGAGTAGAGGGCAGGGAAAACCAAGGGGAGGCTGCCAGGAGACTGCAATCTGGGAGTCGGGCCAGGAGAGGATAAGCTGGCAGCAGCTACTCAGAGCAAAATAAAAGCCCTTGCACTGGACTCAGAAGGAAAGAAAGTGTTGGAGGAATGAAAGAACAAAGCAGGCTGTCTGTGCGCCCAGACCGGGTCAGTTACTACCTCTTCTGCATGACAAATATACATAAAACAAATCCCGAACAGCACAGAGCATTAGACACAACTAGAGATACAGAGGGCAGGAGCCTGGGGGTGTGGTGGTGAGGGCTGGGGCTGGGTCATCTGGCTTTGTACAAGGTGGCAGAAAAGATGCACATGTTCCAGTTCTTGGAAGTCTACTTCCCCTGTAGTCTGGAGGCTGCGTTTGGGAGTTTTCTTTTGCAGTCTTTCAAGTCTGTGTTGGGCCTCCCAGCTGGAGAGGCTGGCTTGGGCCATCCTCCGCAGCTGCCCCAGCCGCAGGCTACACGTCGGTGGAGAAGTACAGTGTGTTCCGCTTCAGTTCTGCGAAGGAAATTGGGGGGTGCTGCAGGTAGTAGAGGAGGACCTGGACCTGTGGGAAGAGAGAGGAAACTGAGGCTGGGTCCTTGGCCTCTTGGTCCTCCTCCTTTGATCTGCTGAGTAGAAATGGTCCCTGGGCTGCAGGCAGGTCTATGTTGTCCCACTTACCCCAGGGCCGGCTCTGGCCACCCCTTCCTTGGAAGCCCAGGTGTGTTTGCCCATCTTCAGCAGTAGAGGGCGCTGCAGGGCAGAGGGTGGGGAGTCTGGGGCAACTTTCAACTCCCTGCTCGACTGAGGTTGGCAGCCCTGTCTCAGACTGGCCCTGGTCTTGGTCTTGCAGGGATCCCAGGGAAGCTTCCTGGCCCTGGAGCAGTACCAGAGCTTCTACGCATGAGGACAAGGCTTCTGCTTTTCCCTCCACCCGAGCTTGCTTTCTGAGACTGAGACAGTCCTGGGAATACAGTCAGCTTCCGAGAAACGCATTCCCGGGACGCCTGATCTGGGCTCATACACTTTGTTTTGGTTTGAGAGAGGCAGGACTGGCCATAGCCCTGCCTCCCTGGTGACATCCTACAGATGAGTGACCAGCAGCTAGAAGGGGGAGGAGTGTGGGGACTCGGAGCTGCACTCTGAATCCTCCACCAGCCGTAGGGCCTAGCAGGGTTGGCGCTTGATACCTGTGCCATGACATCATGGGACCAGATGTCTGCAGCCGACGTGAGGTGTGCTTTGCTCTCCACTTCTGAAGGTCTCAGTAACGTGGGGCCAAACACAGTAGCCAGGTTGTGAAGGGACATTTTGTTGATGGGCTCCTTTTCGGCAACCCTGAAAGGCAGGGTAAGGGAGAAGAAAGGAATCTTTTCTTAGTAGCCACTCTGTGCTGCAGGGCCCCTGGCCTGACTAGTAAGAACTCCCAGGAGGTGTTCTCCTAATCTCCTTTCTCCTAAGGGTAGAGACCTTGTAGGCCTGGCCAGGCTTGGCCCAGCAACAACTAGTGTTCTAGCTATGTCCCAGTATATTCCTATACATATTCCTAGCTCCTGGGCCACTCCTTGAAGGATCCACAGACATCACCAAATCAAACTCCTCTGTCTTACTGTTGGAAGAGGCTTCCCTTTAGTAAGTCATCCTTATCACAGTCTTTGAGGCAGGTACAGTTATCACCATCATCCATATTTTACAAATGAAGAAACCAAAGTGCAGAGAGGGCAAATAACTTCCTGAAGTCATGCAGTAGTAACTAGTAGAGCTGAGATCTGAACCCAGGCAGTTAGCCATCAGAGTCTGCTCTCAAACACTATTCACTCTCAGTCAGTCAAGAAGTGGTATGTAGCCCAGAGGAAGAATCAGAATGAATGGGGTTGGGGCAGGAGAGGAAGGTCAGAGGGCCTGGAGCCCAGCAGCAGTTACTAACTAGATAGAAGTCTGTCCCTAATCCCTAAGCCCAGGGGCTGTCCTCCCACACCTTTCCAGAAGGGTCTGCCTCATGGGACCCTAGAGCTGCCTCCCTTTGGATCCCACTCCCTTCTCTTACGTAACAGGCCAGATGCTCTGTAGCTTTTTCCCAAGTGACAGGCAAGCACTGCCATCTGTGGCTGGTGTCCAGACACCACTGCCACACAGCAGGCCACCCCTAGTCAGAGGAAATGTTTCTGGGGCTGAGACCCCCACCTCAGCCCCAAGCAGCACCCCTCAACCCACTCCCTAGGCCATCACCACTCCCACCGTCTGGGCTAGCCACGGATGTGCCCACTGGCTGCTTTGGAAACAGAAGGACAAACATTGCCATGCCAGGAGACAGCTGTGTGGCTTGCTAGCCCAGCCCCTCACCACACACACACACACACACCCGGGCCACACGCACATGCACACACACACACGTGTGTGTGCCAGGGCCCAGATGTGGGAACAGACTGTGCCCAGTTCCCAGGGTGGAAAACCTAATGGATTTTCCCTTCCCACTCCTCCTCTGTGCTCCTCCCACCACTCGGCAAATTATTTGGGAATTGGTTGGGGCTTTGGTCCTGGCCAAACCAGAGGGAAAAGTGTCTCATAACGGGAAAAACAAGACATCAGCTCAAGGGGCTTCCAAGTCTCTGCTCCTTCTCCCGAGCTGGCCTGGCTGAACCAAGGCTGGGGCCTCAGGGAGGAATGAGCCCACAAGAACAGCCTCCTCTTCTCCTCGCAGCCCTCTCTTGGGGGTGGGGGGCTCTTTAGCCCCTCTTCCTGGGTGACGAGTGGATGTAAGGAACACCTCATGACTTTTCCTACCCTTTCATGCCTAGGACCAGTCTGGGCTCAAAAGTGAGTGATGAAGACATGGATAAACTTTGGAAACATTATGCTGAGTGAAATTAGTCAGACATAAAAGGACAAATATTGTGCGAATCCATTTATATGAAATACCTAAAGTAGGCAAATGTGTATAGACCAAAGTTCATGGTTACCATAGGCTGCAGTACAGCCAGAATGCTCCTTAGAAGTGAGCATGGTAAGCTGTTCTCTCCCATCCTCTGGCCATGTTATCAGGAGGGACCAGTCTCTGAAGGAGGACATCAGGCTTGGTAAAGCAGAGGGTCAGTGCAAAGGAGGAAGACCCGCCATGAGACGGCCTGTCACGGTGTTGCAACAATGGGCTCAAATGTGGCAATGTACAGGACCAGGCAGTCCCTTCTGTCATACACAGGGTCACGCTGAGTCAAAGCCAACTCGGTATGTTATCACACTTAACAACAAGAGCACAGCCTGAGGGCAGGGCAAGTGGAAATTTACTTTAAGGGGCACTGAGTTAGTTCTGTTAAGGGTGATGAAGAACATTTGGAAATGGATAGTGGGGATGGTTGCCCAACATGGTGAACGTAATTAATGTCACTTAATGGCATGTGTAAAATGGTTCAAGTGGCCAATGTCTACTTATGTAGATTTTACTACACACACACACACACACACACACACAAACTGACTGATAGAGAGAGACATCTTTGGGGCCAGTTTCAGTTCTGAAGTTCACTGCAAGTCTCAACTTTAGCAGCTCTGGGTTTGACCCAGGGGTTGGGAGAAGGGCCTTAGCTTAGGGTTTGGGAGATACAGGTTTGACTGCTAACCAGAAGGCTGACAGTTCAAACCCACCAGCCACTCCTCGGAAGGAAGGCTGGGCAATCTACTTCCACAGTGACACTATGCTGCCTCGGAAACCCAAGGAGGGGTCACTACGAGTCAAATCCGACTCGACGGCAGTGCATTTTGCTGTGGGACAGACCTGCTGCTGCCTCCAGTGTGTGCCAAGTGCAGCTGTTCCACAGCGTTCTCAAGGCTGCGGCCTTTCAGAAGCGGATTGCCAGGCACCCCTCGGTGGATTTAAATCGTCAGCTTTTTGACTAGTAGTCAAACTGTTGACACCACCCAGGGACTCCTATACCCACCTCAGCTTACTGCTTTTGTTATTCTGTTTCATTTAAAAATACTACACTGACTGTGTGAACCACTGATAAGCTGGGACCCACTGACTGTAAAATCTGTTTCTAGCCCTTGGCTGTAGCCTTGTTGTTGTAAGCGTTCTGTGCCAATATTTGAGTTTGCTTCTAGGACCCAGTAATTTCTCAAAACAGAAGAATATGAGTGCAAGAAAATTTGATAAGCAAACTCTCATTCTGCTGTGGCTGATCCAGCAGAGGCTCACGCCCATGAGGAGGTGGCGGGGAGGTGGGGTCCTTGTTTCCCCTGGCCTAGGCCCATCTGAACTGTCCCCTGGGCCCCGTTACCTTTTCAAGTGTTCCAGCAGGAAGAGGAAGGTGATGAGGTTGGGATCAGGCAGGGAGCGGAGCAGGTGCATCATGCAGTTTTCCTTGGCAGCAGGGTCAGACAGGGCTGGGGGCACAGAAGGGGGTAGACAGCGCTGGGCTCGGCTCCCAGGGTGGGAAAGGGCTCCACAGCCCTAGCAGGCAGAGTCCCCATGGTTGTGAGGCTGAGGTACCCAGAGGGACAGCCCAGGCTGCCCGTGCCTAGGGAGCAGACCCTGGAGGGGTGGACCTGGCATCTGGGTGGGCCATCCCCTCCACGACTGGTAAGTCAGCCAGAAGGCAGGCTGGTGGGCTAGTGGGAAGCAGACCCCTTCCTTCCCCTCACTGCCCAGGCCTTAGCCACTGGTGCTCATCCCCATTCTCTGTAAGGCTGTGCTGCCAGTGCTGTGAAAGTCTTTCTCTTTCAACCACCTCTGATGCTGGGTGAGCAGCCTTCTATGAGTTCCTCATTCCCCACACGATGGAGCCCTAATCTGAGCCAGGAGGAGAAAAGCCAGCAGGGATGCCCAGGCCTGGATGGGGCCCAGGTAAGTGGAGGCAGAAGCCCTGCTGGCCAGGATCCTCTGCTCTCTCCCCTGCTTATGGTGAGGAGACAAGGGGGTTGTCATTCTGGAAGGCTCAGCACAAGCCATCTCAAATGCACTCTGGCTCTAGGCAGGCTACTTCTGGGCTCTGGGGTGCCAGCCCTTGACTGCCTACTTTAGGGTAGTTTTTCCCAGATGCCTGAGTTTCTAAGCAAGGAGTTCGTGTCCAAGTAGCAAGCACAGAGGGCAGCCCAGGGGGACAGTGAGGGGGAAAGGCAGGTGACAGAGGAGGCATCTCTGGATCAGGTCCCAGCAGGCCACACAGTGCCCCTCTGGGGCACCCTGCCATGTGGCCCTGGTGCACTGGGAAGCATCGATGAGCAAGGGGACCCACAGATACATTCTCTTGTCTTTACTTGCTGGTCAGGGCGGCCTGGCACAGCCTAGCCCTCGGGAGCCCCGGGAGCCTCACCAATGCCCTCCATGAAGGCTGGGTAGAGTCGGTCTGTGAGGAGGGGCTCGGGCAGCTCCCGGAAGTAGAGCTTGAGGGTGCCAGCGATGGCATTGATGTCCATGTCACTCAGCATCAGCAGGATGTCCTTGTTGTCTGCGGAGGAAGGTGCGAGGTCAGGGGCCTGGCTGGCCTATTCCAGCACCCACATACGTCCTGAGACAGCCCAGCCAGCAGAGCCCCCACCCACTCTGCCTCTGGTTCTGCTCTTCCCCAGAAAGGCAAGATGCAGGCAGGTTGTCTGTGACTCAGTTCTGTCGAGGGTAGGGGATGGGGGCCAGGAGAAACAGGCTGGAATCTAATTCCTTCTGGCCCTGGGAAGGGGGAGGGGTGCAAGGCCATCACCCAGAGTTCTGGAGCCACATTCATACCACGTGGCATGTACCTTCCTTCCAGCTGGAATCTCCCCATTGCTAAGCTCCTCTCTGGAAGGCACTGCACATTTTTTATACTTAAAATCATGTTCCAGCAAAGCCTCAGCTTCCAGGCCACACGGGAGCCACGCACCAACACATCCCCAGTACCCCATACTTTCCGCTGCCCCAGGCTCCCCCACCACGTCTGCTTGACAGCTGCCCAGGAACACCCACCAGGGCCACTGGTCACTCCCTGCATGGAATCATCACTGCCGGGCTATTCAGGCTCTTTGACTATTGGGTCTCCCTGCTACCCTGTAGCCTGATTAGCAGGATGGAGGAAAAGAAAGCAGAATGGGAAGGCCTCCCCACTAAGGAGTTCAGTCAATGCCAGAGGCAGAAGTGACCCTCCCAAGGGGTACGTGAGGCCCCGAAGATGCCAGAGAGGAGCTGAGCCAGCCAGCCCAGGCTCAAAGCCCCTTAATTTCCCCTAACACCGTGAGACACTCAGGAGCTAGCAGAGAGTGAGGAACAGAGACTCCAGTGTCAGAAAGATCTGAGTTTAAATCCAGGTACAAAACATACAAGCTGGGTAATCCTGGGCAAGTCACTTGACCTCTCTGAGTTTCTTTATCTATAGCAATAGATAGGAGATTGGAGGGGAGGGAGGAGGGTGGCGTGAAAAATTCAGGAAAAGCTCTCACCACACAGACTCCAGAAACCTCCAGCTCATGCCATGCTGGCCTATAGGCCACAGACTAAGCACCTCTGCCATTGGCTAGTCCAGGCCTCCTGGTTCTACTGAGCTGCCCATCAGCCCTAGAAGCCTACTTAGCAGCCCCTGCCTCCCCTACCCCAGCTGAGCCTCCCAGACTCACTGGCATCAAAGACGGCCTTCAGTGCCTGGATGTCTGTGGCCACCCCCGATATCCGGTAGATGCCGACCTCCTCGATGCCCCTCTTCTCCACCTCCTCCACGCACTGCCGGACGATGTAGGGTACCTTGGAGCGCTCCCGCCTAGGAGGGCAGGCGATGTCAGGGGGAGAGTCTCCCCATGACAGATATACTGTAGCTACTACCACCACCACCACCACCCCCGCAACATGCCTTGGCCTTGGACAGCTCTAGCCTCTGGGATTGGGTGAGGCAGAAGAGAGCTGAGAGAGCCCATACACCCCCACCCCATCTTAGGGCTGTCTGCTGAGGATCAGTCAGCGCCTGGGGCACAGGAAGCAGATAAGCCCCAAGACTACATGTTTCCCTACAGCAGAGGTCCCCGGTAGGTAAACAACGTGATGGAGCAAGGGGGAGGACTGTGGTGGTGAACTGAAGACTGTGTTCTTCCCAGAGGGGCAGCCACCACTTGGATTCCAGCCCACTGCTGCCAAAAGCTGGGCTGCAGCTGCCAGATCTTCCCATTTACCACAAGAAGCTGGCAATCAGGGCTTTTCCCATGAAACCTTGAGATGGATCAGTACTGGCTCATTTATTCCTAATGCATCATGTGAGCCAGAGAACACTCCCCTGTGGGTCACTTTTGGCTTCCAAACCGACCACGTGTGATGGCGACAGATTAGGTGCAGGCATGGCAGGGAGCGTGGGAAGGCAGGGGGCTGGCGGGACCTGGGGCACCGATCCCTGCACCAGACCCCAGAAGTAACACCTACTTCGTCACCACACTGATCTTCACACCAAAGACGCCAGTCTGCTTCTTGGATGGGGTTCTCTTCAGGCTCATATCTCGGCTGGTGAATTTCATGGAGAATTCTACTTTGATCTGGTTGGGAGTGAGGCAGGCACAAATCCTCCAGGGCACAAGTACCCAAGCAGTGTCCCCCAAAACATAGGGAGGGGCTCCTCCCCAGGACTACAGACAAGGACTACCTCTGGCACCCAGGGTTCCTTGAAACATCTGTGGGATGGGGTGGGGAGGGGGGCGGGCAGAGGAACTGGGCTGGAGGGGTGGATGGAGGCAGCTCAGCTGCCCGAGGAAACAGTCTGGGGCAGGGAAAGGGCTTCCCACCCGCTGTGCAGACATCCAATCTCTGCTGTCTCACCCCATTCATCTCAATCACATCCGTGTGCCAGTTCTTGGTTTCCACGGTTTGTGGGTCCAACTGCAGAGAAAGAAAAGGACAATGTGAGTGAGAGAGATGGCAGCTCTCGGACGCCCAGCCAGAGCTCTCTCCCCCTGCTGGTCAGCGGCGCCTCCCAAGTGAAGGCCTCTTCTGCCGGCTGAATGGTCAGGAAGGCGGAAGCAGGGCGTGATGCTCTTCTTGAAATCAACCCTTCCGGAGGCTCCATTCTGCGAACAGGAACTCTCCTGGCCCTCTCAGCCCCGTGATGGATGGGGAGAGGCCAGATGGGCTCTTTTGCCCATCTCATTCTTGGACACCTGACCATCCTATGAGATGGGTATTATCATCACCCACTTGACAGATGCAGAAACAGGTTCAGAAAAGGTAAGCCACCTGCTTAGCCACAGAATTAGAGTTGACAGGAGGGTACGCAGCACTGTGCTGGGCAGGTGGAGGCTGCTGACTGGGAGGCAGTGGTTAGGAGCCCATTCTCAGGAAGTCAGCTGCCTGCGTCTGAATCCCGGCTCTGTCTCTTCCAATTGTGTGACCTCAGCACATTTCAACCTCTCTCAGACTCAGTGTCTTCGTCTGTCAAATGCAGCCAGTGACAGAACCTGCCTCACTGGACTGGTGTGAGGATGCAATGATGTAACTCGGGTTGAGCAGACAGTCCCTGAATGCTCTACAGGGGGAGGCCTCAACGACTTGGGCCGAAGCCCTGAGGAGGGGGGACAACAGGGAAGACTAGAGGCATCCCTCGCATGGGACTGCACAGGACTCATTCTCTAACTCAGTAGCTTCAAACTGTTTTTTAGGGCAAATTTTGAAAAATTTAAATAATTCTGGAAAAAACATGCAATCCCTGGCACATTTTTTCAGTTGACATCTGAATATTTCCATGGCAAGTCTAAATAGTTAAAAGAGTATCACTTCCAGAATAATGTAAATATTGACATCTTAAAATGGTTACATCATTCCTTCACATGTATCCAATGGAATCTATCTTAGCGATTTGATACCTACCATCATCCATTTTAAAAAAATGCATGAACAAGCTCTTCTTTCCTCTGCAGAAACCCCACATCGTTCCCTTTCTTCTTGAATTTATACTTCTATCCTGTTTCTCCTCAAGAATTTTGTCCTAGTTTATATTTTTATATTTTAAAGTCTTCTATTCATCACCCTATTATAACAAATATACCTGTATAAGTTGAAATTTAAAACTTCCTTGAGACCACAATGAGCCGTGGTAGTGTAGTAGTTAAAACATGCTAACCAAAAGGTTGGCAGTTTGAACCCACCAGCTGCTCCGCTGAACAAAGATGAGGCAAGTCTGCTTCTGTAAAGATTTACAGCCTTGGAAACTCTACGGGGCAGTTCTACTCTGCCCAAAAGGGTCACTATGAGTCAGAATCAACTTGATGACGGTAGGTTTGGTTTTGATTTTGAGACCATGAGGCTCCAAATATTCAAGACATACCCTGGATTAGTTATTACAGCAATTAACGTTATTGTTAGCAGCCGTGGAGTTGGCCCCGGACTCATGACGACCCCATACATGATGGAACAAAAAGCTGCCCGGTCCTATGCCATCCCCACTACAGGCTATAGATCATACCACTGTGATACATAGGTTTTCATCAGCAAGCTTCCACTGACAGACAGGGGGTGCCTGTGCATGAATGCACTGGCCGGGAATCGAACCCAGGTCTGCTGCATGGAAGGCAAGAATTCTACCACTGAACCACAGCTCCCTGGGGCTTTTCCTCTGTAGAAGGAGAGAAGGGATGGGGAGAGGCCTATTCTCAGGTAAGTTAATTTTTGGCAATAGCACCTATGGAAGTTAAGGATCTATAAATTGATGCCCTTAAAATGCTTCCTGCTCATGCACCCCTTGGAAAGTCTGTGCACCCCCAGGGACACATGTACCAGTTTGAACACTGCTGCTCTAATAGCCACTGTCCCTCCAGAGAGGAAGAAAACGAGATCTGGGTAGCCTAGGGTGGGCTGGGCCCTGAGGCTTCTACACCACCCCCACGACGTGAGTCCTTCCAGTACCTTCTATGCTCACACAGCCTGGCTGGGGACAGGAAGCACCCAAGTCTCTGATAGCACCTGGGTGTGCACCTAGCTCACTTTAGACCCTGTACCTGAGCCAGCTTTGGCCCAGGCTCAGTCTTTAGAAATTAGCTCCTGACCTGGAGGAGGCATGGAACTAAGAACAGGAGGGAAGGAGAATGGTATGGAGAGAACCAATCCCCCTCCCTACCCCAGTACCTCCTCTAACACACAAAGGAAGCATGTGGGAGCCACCAGCCTGACCACTGTTTCTTACAGACTTGAGTGGTGTGCAGAATTAGCCACGGGCCAGGCTCTCTACTGCAGAAGACTCTGAGGCCAGTGTCCTAGTGGGTTCCCCAGGAATCACTCTCCTAAAGCTTCCCTCCCCTCTTAACTTCTTCATATCCCAAACGTTCACTGAGCCTATAGCATAGGCTGCTCCTTGTAGTTCCTTCACCCCAGTCAGACCACTGGGTCTGCCCTTGGCTCTTCCCCAAGTGGCAGCCACACAGACGCACACAGGGTTGTTGTAGTTCACTGCCACTGACTGGTCTCTAACTAATAGTCCCACCATGTACAAAAGAACAAAGCTCTGCCCAGTCCTGGGCCAACCCCACAATCAGGAGCGGATCAGACTGCTGTGATCCATAACATTTTCACTGGCTGATATTCAGAAGGAGATTTCCAGCCCTTTCCTCCTAGTCTATCTTAATCTGGGAGCTCCACTGACAGATGGGTGGAGGGTGTGCATGAGGCGCACTGGCTGGGATTGGAACACAGGTCTCCTGCAGGGAAGGGGAGAGTTCTATCACTGAATCACCACTGCCCCAGACAATGGGGTAAAACCAAAAAACCAAACCCACTACAACCTGGTATGGGTGCAATGACAGACACATAGACCAACAGAATGTAATTAGGAACCCAGAAATAAATTCATCCACCTATGGACAGCTGATGTTCTACAAATGGTCGAGATCCATTAAATGGGAAAGAGATAGTCTCTTTAACAAATGGTGCTGGCAAAACTGGATTTCCATTTGCAGAAAAATGAAACAGGATCCATACCTCACACCATATGCAAAAACTAACTCAAAGATTTAAATGTAAATCTAAATGTAAAACCAAAACTATAAAGAGCACAGAAGAAAAAATAGAGGCACACTCTGGGGCCCCAATTTATGGCATAATCTATCAAACAACTAAAAATTCATACATAAACAGCAGAAGATAAACTAGACGACTGGGACCTCCTAAAAATTAAATACTTTTATGTGCATTGGAAAACTTCTCCAAAAGAATAAAAAGAGAACCCACAGATTGGCAGAAAAAATAAAAAATCAGGCAATGACATATCTGACAAGAGACTAATCTCTAAAACGTACTGAAAACTTCAACATCTTAACAACAAAAAGACAAACAATCCAATTAAAAAATGAACAGACACTTCACCAAAACAGACATTCAGGTAGCCACAAATACATGAAGAGATGCTCACTATCATTAGCCATTAGAGGGATGCAAACCAAAACAACAATGAGATATCATCTCACACCAGCAATAATAGCAATGGTCAATAAAACAGAAAACCATAAATGCTGGTGAGGGTATGGGGAACTGGAACTCTCCTACATTGCTGGCAGGATTTTAAAATGGTACAACCACTATGGAAAACAGTATGATACTTCCTTAAAAAGTTAAAAATAGAGATCCAGCAATCCCATTACTAGGTATATATCCTAGAGAAATAAGAGCTGTGGCAAAGATATATGCACACCCATGTTCATCACAGCACTGTTCACAATAGCAAAAGATGTAAACAACGTCAGTGTCCATCATTGGATGACTGGATAAACAAACTATGGTACATACAAACAATGGGATAATACTATGTCACCTTAAAGAGTAGTGATAAATGCATGAAACATCTCACAGCATGGATCAACCTGGAGGACATTATGCTGCATGAAATAAGTCAATCACAAAAGGCCAACTATTATAAAAAGTCAAGAAAATGTTTATGCACACAAAGAAGCATTCTTTGAGGGTTACTAGGGATGGAAGAGGAGGGAGAGAAAGTCACTAACTAGATAAACCCCCAAAAAAACCACTGCCATCAAGTCGATTCCAATTCATAGCAATCTTATAGGACAGAGTAGAACTGCCCTACTGGGTTTCCAAGCTTGTAAATCTTCACAGAAAAAGACTGCCTCATCTTTCTCCCACAGAACAGCTGGTGGATTTGAACTGCCAACCTTCTGGGTAGCAGCCGAATGGTTTAACCATTGTGCCGCCTCCTAAATAGATAGTAGACATATATTAACTTAGATGAGGGGAAAGACAGTACACAGTAAGAGGTCAGCATGTGACCAACATAAAGGAAGAAACCAGGACATACTCAAGAGTAAAGGCAATGATAGTAAATACTATACACACACACAATCCTGTAATAACAGTAATAACAAATAGCAGTTTATGAGCAGATACATAGGTAGACATGTAAGCTGAAAGGCATGCGATGGCATATGGGAGTATACCCATGACCACATATAGGTTTGGCAGAGGATACTTTTACATATGTATTTGTATGTGCTGCAAATATATCCAGGTATGTAGTAGAGCACACAGGAGGCAAAATTAAGCAAACTTCTTAGCCATAACCAAACACCTTGAGGGACTGACTGACTCACTGGGCTTCAGGGCTTAGGATCATAGTCTTGGGGACATCTAGGTCAACTGGCACGTTGTTAGACACCGACTCAGTTCTGACTCACGATGACCCCTTGTACAACTGAAGGAATCGCTGCCTGGTCCTGTGCCATCCTCACAATCCTTGCTAGGCTTGAGCCTACTGTTGCGGCCACTCAGTTAGGCCATCTTGTTGAGGGTCTTCCCCTTTTTTGCTGACCCTCGAGATTTTATCAAGCATGATGCCCTTCTCCCTGGACTGGTCCCTCCTGATAATATGATCAAAGTACAAG